ACTCTTTGTCCCAAACACCTTGGAATTAAATGTTCAGATTACAGGCTCAAGCAATCTTCCTCTTATTCAGTTATCTTAAAAAGAAGTTTAATTGGCCCTTGGGAGACATAAGTGGGGATTTCTAGTAGTTCAGATACAACTTTACGTGATTTATTACGAAACATACAGTTTTGAGTTTTTGTGTAAAAATGCTGGCTCACTACTTGCTAGATCTTCAGGTAGATGTAATGGTATCTCCAGAAAGACTCTGAACTGCCAGCCATGGTGGTTCATGCCCTAATCCCAGCACTTTGGGAGGTGGAAGCAAGAGGATTGCCTGAGCCCAGGAGTTCAAGATCAGCCTGGGCAACTTGGTGAGACCTCATCTCTACAATAAGTCAAAATATTAGCTAGGCATGGTGGCATATGCCTATGATTCCAGCTACTTGAAAGGCTGAGGCAGAAGGATCGCCTGAGCCCAGCATGTCCAGGCTGCAGTAGCCATGAGCGTGCCACTATACTACAGCCTGGGTGACAGAGTGAGACTCTGACTCAAAAAAAGAAAGGAAAGGAAAGGAAAGACAGACTCTTGACAGATAATGGACAATTGGAGGAACAATGTCTGCTCTTAGCAAAATTGAGTCTACCATCTTCCTGCTGATTGCAAGTGATAATATAACTATCCCTCCTTCCTCCGCCCACACCAACCCCCAAATACTCTTGAAACCATCTGCCCTTCCTCTGGCCTCCGCTTCTGTGGATTGTCTGTAGCACCTTATAGTTGCCTCTTGCACTTGGTCAATGTGATTTAGGCCTACATTTACCTCCCACTAGACAGCATTAGCTTCCTAATTAGTTCTGCTCCCTCCAGTCTTAGACACTGAGCTTACACGTTGTTGCCATAGTACCTTTCAAGGTCCTAATCATATTCCTTCCTCAAAAACCACCAAGAGCCAGGCTCGGTGGCTCAGCCTGTAATCCCGCGCCTTTGGGAGGCCGAGGTGAGTGGATTGCCTGAGCCCGCGGGTTCGAGATCCGCCTGGGCAGCGAGACCTCATCTCTACAATAAATCAAAAATGAGCCGGGCGTGGTAGCATGCGCCTGTAGTTCCAGCTACTTGGAAGGCTGAGGCGGAAGGATCGCCGGAGCCCAGCAGGTAGAGGCTGCAGTGGCTGCTCCCAGTCTGGGTGACAGAGTGAGACTCCAACTCAAAAAAAAAAAAAAGAAAAACCACCCAGATTTCTTATTGCTACTAATCCTGTCTACTCCTCAGGGATACCCCTCAACCATATGCACCCCCTCCTCAAGCCAATCTGGCTGATGACCACACCCCATCCCATGGGAGGAGGGCTTTGCTTTCCACCGCAGCCTTGACCTGTTGGGCTCCTGCGATCCTTTCACCTCAGCCTTCCAAGTAGCTGGAACTACAGGCACGCGCTACCACGCCCGGCTAATTTTTTGATTTATTGTAGAGATGAGGTCTCACGAAGTTGCCCAGGCGGGTCTCAAACCCACGGGCTCAGGCAATTCACTCACCTCTGCCTCCCAAAGCACGGGATTACAGGCTGAGCCAAGGGCTTTGCTTTTTGTTCGTCCTTGAGTCTTGCAACTCCAGCAAGATTCAACCTTTGGTTGAATGTGCCCACTAGTGGTGGTGTGGGAAATGGGAGTTCCAGATCACATGAAAGAGGGTAATGTGGATCTTCCAATTCCAGATCCAGTCCCCAAGTGACAGCTGTGGCTTTTCACCTTCAATCTTGTTATTAATCTGTAAAGTAAGCACACTTCACAAAGGCAAGAGTGATCTTTCCCTTGGTCGACAACAGTCTGGAGTTATGGAAAGGGTAATTGTTCTGTTAGCATGTTTTGTTTGTTTTTTCCTTCTCCCTTTAGGGACAGAAGAATCTTCTCTCATCTCTCATTATCCTAAACCCTAAAGCTGTTCTTTTTGCTTCCCAGGGAGGATGGTAGCAGGTTCCCTTGTTGCATTTACTTTTCTACATTCCACTTTGATAAGGGTCTGGGAGCACCTTTTTCTGCCAGTTTATGTTGCCATGTCAGTGAATGTCTAGCTGTTCAGGGATCCGTACACAATCAATTTTTTTTTTTTTTTTTTTGAGTTGGAGTTTACTCTGTCGCCTAGTCTGGAGTGCAGTGGCCGCTCCCGGCCACTGCAGCCTCAACCTGCTGGGCTCCGGCGATCCTTCCGCCTCAGACTTCCAAGTAACTGGAACTACAGGTGTGCGCTACCACACCCGGCTAATTTTTTACTTATTGTAGAGATGAGGTCTCGCCAAATTGCCCAGGCGGGTCTTGAACCCACAGGCTCAGGCAATCCACTCACCTCAGCCTCCCAAAGGCGCGGGGTTACAGGCTGAGCCACCGAGCCGGCTACAATCAATTTAAATTGTTTGTGGAAGGGCCTTTTCCCCCGTAGAAGCTGGAGGTGTGGGCATGTTTATCTTTGATGAAATAGTAATTGAACCTGTGGAGGAATATGAGGCCCAGTTAGGCTAGCATCAATTGCGTAAACTGGGTAAACTGAGGAAGGAAATCTCAGGATGAGATTTTATAAACGTTACAAAGAAACTTACTGATGGCATCAGAGCGCAGGTAGCCAGCAGTAAAACATTTGCTATAGACAAAAAGTGCTCTGTAATCCCGCGCCTTTGGGAGGCTGAAGTGAGTGGATTGCCTGAGCCCACGGGTTCGAGACCCGCCTGGGCAACTTGGCGAGACCTCATCGCTACAATAAATAAAAAATTAGCCGGGCATGGTAGCACGCGCCTGTAGTTCCAGCTACTTGGAAGGCTGAGGCGGAAGGATCGCCAGAGCCCAGCAGGTCGAGGCTGCGGTAGAGCGGCCACTGCACTCCAGTCTGGGCGACAGAGTGAGACTCCAACTCAAAAAAAAAGTGTTTAACCATTTATTGCTAGTTAACTATTGCTGTTAACTAAACAAGACATCACAATCAGTCATCCTTTTCACAAACCTCTGGAAATGTCCTTTTGCAGACTTCCCCCCAAAGACAATTCCCGGCCCACAAAGCCCTGACACCCCTCTTATAAAAACACCCCTTGCTGGGCTCGGTGGCTCAGCCTGTAATCCTGCACCTTTGGGAGGCTGAGGTGAGTGGATTGCCTGAGCCCGGGGGTTCGAGACCTGCCTGGGCAACTTGGCAAGACCTCATCTCTACAATAAATCAAAAATTAGCCGGGCGTGGTAGCACGCGCCTGTAGTTCCAGCTACTTGGAAGGCTGAGGCGGAAGGATTGCTGGAGCCCAGCAGGTCGAGGCTGTGGTGCCCGGGAGCGGCCACTGCACTCCAGTCTGGGCAACAGAGTGAGACTCCAACTCAAAAAAAAAAAAAAAAACAAAAAAACACCCCTCTAGCCCCTGCCTCTTTGCAGAGGGCAGACAACATATACTCTCTCTGCTGCTGTTCTGCCCATTGTGCCCTTCACAAAGTATCTTCCCTTTAATAAATCTACCTTCCTTAATTGATAACTGCTTTAGTAAATTCTTCTTTCCAACCAGCATCTCTGGCCGTACCCAACCCTCCACACATGGCAGGGCCCTGAAAACGTGGGGAGAGTCGAGAGCTTTAATCAATAGAAAGAGAAAGAGGTTGGTGACAAATTACACCTAGTCCACAATTATGCCTAATTTTGATGTGAAATCTTTAGTCTGAAACTTATAGACACTCAGGTAAAATAAAGCTTCCATTTTCAATCTGCCTAACCCTGGTATTAGTGTTAGCATAGGACAAAAGTAAGCCAAACCACGCAGGACAGGCAGTGAATAGTGGTTGATGGCATTAAGGACACAGGGTGAGGGTCCCATCTGATGCTGCAGCTGTAGCCATGGAGGGAGGCTAGGTGCCAGATGTGGACCCAGAGGTCACATGCCAAGGAGCTTTAAAACCCAGAAAACAGGCTGGCCACGGTGGCTCACACCCATAATCCCAGCACTTTGGGAGGTGGAGGCAAGAAGATAGCCTGAGCCCAGGGATTCAAGACCAGCCTGGGCAATTTGGTGAGATCTTGTCTCTACAATAAATCAAAATATTAGCCAGGCCTTGTGGCACACGCCTGTAGTTCCAGCTACTTGGAAGACTGAGGCAGAAGGATCTCCTGAGCCCAGCCGGTCAAGGCTGCGGTCGCTGTGAATGTGTCACTGCACTCCAGCCTGTGTGACAGAGTGAGACTCTGGCTTAAAAAGAAAAAGTCATACTTGTTTCAAAACCAAACTAAGAATATAGCTTTACTGTATGACTTTTTTTTTTTTTTAGTTGGAGTCTCACTGTCGCCCAGGCTTGAGTGCCATGGCACACTCAACAGCCATCCCTGCATCGACCTGCTGGGCACTGGCGATCCTTCCACTTCAGCCTTCCAAGTAGCCGGAACTACAAGTGTGTGCTACCACGCCCACCTAATTTTTTATTTTATTGTAGAGGTGAAGTCTCGCCAAATTGCCCTGGCTGCTCTCGAACCCACGGGCTCAGGCAATCTACTTGCCTCTCGGCCTCCCAAAGTGCTAAGATTACAGGCTGGGCCACCAAGCCCGGCCTAGTGTATATCTTGAAAGGCAGACAAAAACATGAAATATGACTCAAAAAAAGAAGAAAAAGAAAACATAGAGGACTACCGGGTAGGGTCAGAAATGCTAAAGGCATGATTTGTAAGGCTGTGCCCCCAGGGAAGAGTTCAGATTTAAGGCCAAGAGGACAAAGGCAAATAAGTGAGAAGCCGTCCGGTGGAAATTCAAGGTCTGCTCTCTGCAGACACGGGAAAGATGACGTAACCCCGGATGTCAAGCTCAGATTCCGCTGCTCCGGTAAGAGGGCACTAGGCACGTGCCCAAGGACTGCTCCTTCGCGTTCGTGCCTGTGAATGGCAAGCCCCGCCCCCAGCTCAGGGGCGTGGCCTACAGAGAGAACGCAGCGAACCCGGCAGGAGATGCGCGCTCAAGCCCGGCACTTCCCTACCCTCTCCCAGCTAACCTCTGATTGGTGCACTCGGCCCAAGGGGCGGGCCCTGAAGCGCTGTTGCGCGCTGCAGCCTCTCCACTGCCCAGGGCTCTCGGCTGTCACCGCCATGGCGGCACCAGTTTTGCTGCGACAAGGACGAGCTGGGCCACTGAAGGTAAAGAAGGAGTTTGCTTGGGCAGGCCTCGCGGCTTGGAGCCCGCGTAGGAGTCGGGGTGAGGGGGTGCGGCGTGGTCAGGCCCAGGCCTGTCGATGTCCTCCAGCCGTCCTCGCTGGGCCGCTGACCCCGCTCCCTGGGCCCAGAACAGGCGGCCCGGCGCGGACTTGCGTGGGGCGGACGAGCGTCCTCCTCCCTCCGGCGACCCTTCGCCCTGGCCGCTGGTCACCTGTCCCCGCCGCTGCCCAGAGCTGAGGCCTAGCACACAGCTCTCCCCCGCCACCTAGCGTGGTGGTGTCCCCGGCTGGACCTGGATCTCCTGGGGAGAGTCTCAGGTGTGCAAGCCTGGGCAGCAGACAGGTGTGGACGTTCCCGGTGTGATCCTGTGGCGACGCCGGGGTGGACAGCCTCTGTGCGGCTGTGACTTCTGGCAGAACTGCAAGGCTTTAAAGACTGTCTTTCCTGTTCAGCCGAGAAGAGGAAATGAGGGAACTTTTAGGGACCTGGCTGACCTGCTAATTTATCTGGCAGCCATTAAGAAGCCAGTTTAGGCCGGGTTCGGTGTCTCAGCCGGTAATCCCAGCATTTTGGGAGACCGAGGCGAGTGGATTGCCTGAGCCCACGGGTTGAGACCAGCCCAGGCAAATTGGCAAGACCTCGTCTCTACAATAAATCAAAAAAAATGAGCCGGGCGTGGTAGCGCGCGCCTGTAGTTCCAGCTACTTGGAAGGCTGAGGCGGAAGGATCGCTGGAGCCCAGCAGGTCGAGGCTGCGGTGGCCGGGAGCGGCCACTGCACTCCAGTCTGGGCGACAGAGTGAGACTCCAACTCAAAAAAAAAAAAAAAAAAAAAAAAAAAAAAGCCAGTTTAGGTTGGGCGCTGTGGCTCACGCCTATAATCCCAGCACTTTAGGAGACCGAGGTGAGATGATTGCCAGAACCCACGGGTTCGAGACCAGCCTGGGCAACTTGGTGAGACCTCATCTCTACAATAAATAAATAAATAAAAATTACCCGGGCATGTTGGCCTGTGCCTGTAGTTCCAGCTACTTGGAAGGCTGAGGCGGAAGGATCTCCTGAACCCGGCAGGTCGAGGCTGCGGTGGTGGAGAGTGTACCTCTGCACTCCAACCTGGGTGACAGAGTGAGACTCTAACTCAAAAAAAAAAAAAAAAAAGAAAAGAAAAAGAAACCCGTTTATATACCAGGAAAAGAGGAATAAGGGCTTTCTTTCTCTACGTATAGAAAGTTAAGGTCACAATTTTAAAAATTGAAGATGAGCCGGACTCGATGGCTCAGCCTGTAATCCCGCGCCTTTGAGAGGCCGAGGTGAGTGAATTGCCTGAGTCCGCGGGTTTGAGACCCGCCCGGGCAACTTGGCGAGACCTCATCTCTACAATAAATCAAAAAATTAGCCGGGCGTGGTAGCGCGCGCCTGTAGTTCCAGCTACTCAGAAGGCTGAGGTGGAAGGCGCGCCGGAGCCCGGCAGGTGGAGGCTCCGGTGGACAGGAGCAGCCACTGCACTCCAGTCTGGGCGACGGAGTGAGACTCCAACTCAAAAAAAAAAAAAAATTTAAGATGGCTGTTATTACAAAAGCAATAACTATTCACTGCAAAATACTTTAAACTACTAATGAGGGGAAACTATTGTCAGTTCAGTATTTACTCCTTAAAGCATGCAGTTCCTAAGAATTTTTTTTAGCTTTTATGTCATAAACATTTTTATGTTCATATGTGCGCATATAGGCACCTCTATTCAGCATTTAGAAAATTGTACTGTCTAGCACTTAGTAGGCCTTAGTGAATATCTGCTGAGTAAGTAACATGGTATAAAACATTTCTCACATTCCAGCTACTTGGAAGGCTGAAGCAGAAGGATCACTTGAGCCCAGCAGGTTGAGGCTGCGGTGGCCGTGACCATGCTATGCACTCCAGCCTGGGTGACAGAGTGAGACCCCTCAAAAAAAAAAAAAAAAAAGTTTTTAGCCGGGCTGGGTGGATCAGCCTATAATCCCAGCGCTTTGGGAGGCTGAGGTGAATGGATTGCCTGTTCGAGACCCACCTGGGCAACTTGGCAAGACCTCATCTCTACAATAAATCAAAAATTAGCCAGGCATGGTAGCAAGTGCCTGTAGTTCTAGCTACTTGGAAAGCTGAGGTGGAAGGATCGCCGGAGCCCAGCAGGTCAAGGCTGCGGTGGCCGGGAACAGCCACTGCACTCCAGTCTGGGTGACAGAGTGAGACTCCAACTCAAAAAAAATTTTTTTAAATAAGTTTTTCACTTAGGTTGTAAACACTTATAAATCATTTATCTACATCATTTTAAATAGCCATATCGTATTTCTTATACTTCATTTTCTAAGTACTGTATGGGAAAATATTTTCCAAAAAGAAACATAGTACTGTGTAGATTAATAGATAATTGGAGACTGCAAAAAAGTATGCACATCTGTGGAGTCTTTTCTCAAACATGGGTGTGTTCTTCATGCAGCTTTTTTTTATTTTCCAAAATCTTCATAATACACATATATTATGAAAATAGTGATAACCTTAGAAGTATGTCATATGAATGCTTTGTATTTATATGTAGTAGTAATACGTAGTATTCATACATAGTAATAGCTTCTATAAATGGTATTATTCTAAACATCCATATTTGTTCATTTTTTTGTCAGACTATTCTCCTAGAAGCACAGGTGTTTCGAGGACTTGCTTCTACAGTTTCTCTCTCTGCAGAATCAGGAAAGAGTGACAAGGGGGGACTGCCACCAAATTCCAAGAAGCAAAGTTCACCAAAAAGTAAGATTTTTAATGGTAGTCAAAAGGAAAAGAGAATACAAATAGATCACTCAGGCTTCCAAGCATGAAAAGGCATTTTACTAACTACATAATTTATGCTTCTTAATTTTCAGCAGTGTCCAGATTATAATCAGACATAAGATTTGTAACAGATTTTAGACCAGAAACCTCAGTAGCATAGTAATCTTTAACTCAACCTTTAGCTCTGAACTGGTTCTTTCTGTGTTTCCTAAATGCCAGACTCCAACCTGAGGCAGGTGATACTAATGATAAAGGCTCTATGGCATTTAGACGGCCCTGGCACAGGCAAGGTCGTTGTTCAATCTCTTTGAAACCCATCTGTTGTTCCCTAGACTCTGCTCGGTCACAGTTCAGGATTGCAGGCATCATCTTATGACTGTGGAGAGGCAGTTAAGAGCAGGCATAGTCCTCCGGTGTGACTCACTTTGCTGTTGCATGGTGTCTGATTTGTTGCCAGCTCCTGACACAGTCATTTTGACTTTCATCACCAGTTTTTAGCTTTTTTTTTTTAAACTTCCCTGAATACAAGTGTAGCACATCCTCATTAAAGGAAAATAAGAAATGAGGCAGTGTATTTTAAATGCTTCTCTTCTGGGAATAATTTTATTTCCTACTCTCTGCTCATTGTTGATAATTGATTATGATCCAGGTTCATTGATTTAACTGGAATTAATAAAACCCGAGTTTACTTTTGAACTGTCTCTGCAAATCTTCAATCCTCATGTGGGGTTATAGAATAATAATTGAGTTTAGACTGGGCACAGTGGCTCACACCTGTAATCCCAGTCCTTTGAGAGGCTGACGTGAGAGAATTGCCTGAGCCCACAGGTTCAAGACCAACCCGGGCAACTTGATGAGACCTCATCTCTACAATAAATCAAAAAATCAACCAGGTGTGGTGGCACGTGCCTGTAGTTCTGGCTACTTGGAAGGCTGAGGCTGGAGGATTGCCTGAGCACAGCAGGTTGAGGCTGCAGTGGCCAGGAGTGTGCCACTGCACTCTAGTCTGGGTGACAGAGTGAGACTCCAACTCAAAAAAATAATAATAAAAAGCCGGGCTTGGTGGCTCAGCCTGTAAATCCCGCGCCTTTGGGAGGCTGAGGTGAGTGGATTACCTGAGCCCATGGGTTCGAGACCCGCCTGGGCAACTTGGTGAGACTTCATTTCTACAATAAATCAAAAAATCAGCCGGGAGTGGTAGCGTATGCCTGTAATTCCGGCTACTTGGAAGGCTGAGGCAGAAGGATCGCTGGAGCCCAGCAGGTCGAGGCTGCGGTGGCCGGGAGCGGCCACTGCACTCCAGTCTGGGCAACAGAGTGAGACTCCAACTCAAAAAACAAAAACAAAAAATAATAATAATAAAATAAATAAATAAAGGACTCATTTTTTAAAAATGCTTGCAACAAGAACATCAATTAATTTCTATATTATACCTGGCAGGTTTTTGACATTCTTTAAATGTTTACTGATGAACAATTAATTGAATTTTATTACTAACATCGTCCTGTTCTTTGGTGAATTTTAGTCTTATGCCTGCAATTCTACTTTATAGATTTATAAATTTGAATTAAATGTCAGAGCTAAAGAGCCTTCTTTTTAGAAATGCATGGTTTGGTTTGGTTTTGTGATAGGATCTTGCTCTATCACCCAGACTATAGTGTAGTGGTGTGATCATAGCTCACAGCAACCTTGAACTCCAGGGCTCAAGGGATCCTCTCACATCAGCCTCCCGAGGCTGGAACTATAGACATGGGCTACCATGCTTGCCCTTTTTTTTTTTTCTGAGTTGGAGTCTCACTCTGTCCCCAGACTGGAGTGCAGTAGCCACACCCGGCCACCGCAGCCTTGACCTGCTGGGCTCTGGCGATCCTTCCGCCTCAGCCTTCC